TATAATATACTTCTCCTCTACACTGTATTTGTATATATATAACTAGCAATGAGCGAGAGGGTGAGTGATGTATGTTGCGATCATTATATAGTGATATATATATATATCATATATATATATATTTACGTATGCTATACATATATATACTCCAATTACTAGTACATCATTAGGGGCTTATGTATGATATAGTGAGTACGGTATTATATATATATATATATATATATACATTATATACAAACGTATATATATTATATATATATATAATATATATATTATATATATATAAATATATATGGTACATTATATACAATCATGTCCAACTAATTATATATATACCTATATATTAATATATAATTATATAATATATATATATATATATATGTATAATATATCCATATATATATGATACCATAAGTATACCATATATATTGATGAGGGAGCCTATCACATCAAGGGTATGTAAAGTAATATGTATATTACTATACTATAATCCATATACCCTATTCCACCATAATAGTATATATATAGTAGTCTAAGTATATATAACGTGGACATAGTAATCGCTAATCACGGTGAATACACACACACCAACATATACCCATATAGTAGTATAATAACCCGCTACCTACCCTTACCTACATCATCTCACTATTACCCCTACTATATATACCTCACGAATACATTATATATATATATATCACTTATGACCTATTTTATATACCTATAAAAACATTATAATACCTACTATTATTACTATGGTATATATGACATGTATGAAGTATTACATTATATATGTAATTAGTATATACTACTAGCGTGCGGTTATATATACTTATATATACATAAATGTGTGTGTTGGTCTGTGTGTTTTGCAGAATCCGCGAGTGTGCGTGCGTGCATTCTTGCTTGCGTGTGCGTATGCCATAAAAAAAAAAAAAGCATAAACTATTGCAATACAAACAAACAAAAATACACCAACACATCTCCCTCTGAGGAGTCTTTACCCGGCGTGTCTATGACATCATAAATTCCGCGATCTAGACACAAACACCATACCTATTATAAACCACAGGGATTCCCACATGATAAAAACAAGGAAGATAGTGCGATATGGTGTGTTGTTTATCAATTTGAATCCAGGAGCGACGTGTGGAGATAAGACAACATGGGGAACGATTAGATATTGTCAGAATGATGGGCCTGGCATCTGGTTCTGGGAAATCCCGGTAGGGGGCGGAGGGAGGGGGGGGGGTCATCTCGATTTGGAAACGTTGGAGGAAATGCCATTTTGTATGGAAATTTGGCATTATTGTTTATATCCACTTCTCTTATCTCTCTCTCTCTCTCTTTCGATCTATCCATCTATTTATATATCTATATAGGTCTGTGTCTATCGATCTATTGGTCTGTTTATGCATATCTGTTTATCTATGCGTATAAACCATACTCTCTATTCATCTGGATATTATCCCTTCTCTCTCTCTAATCTCACCTTCTCGTCTCTCTCTCTCTCTCTCTCTCGTTTCTCTCTCATCTCTCTTCTCTCCTCTCTTGCCTCTCTCTCTCTCTCTCTCTCTTCTCGTCTCTCTCCTCTCTCTCTCCTCTCTCCTCTTTCCTCTCTCTCCTCTTTTCTCTCCCTCTCCTCTCTCTCTCCCTCCCCTCTCTCTCTCTCGTCCTCTCTCACCTCCCTCCCTCTCTCATCTATCTATTCTATCTAATCTGTCTACCTATTCTCTCATCTCTTTCTCTTCTTCTCCTTTCCTGTCTGACTTGTCTATCTGACTTCTGTCTTTAGCGTCTGATCTTCTTGTAATTGACTTCTCGCTCTGTCTTCTCTCTCATTCCTCTCCTTCTCATTCCTTTTCTCTGTCTGCTTATGCGTCTCTCTCTCTCTATCTCTCTCTCACTGTCTGACTGTCTGTTTGTCTTTCTGTCATTCTGTATCTCTCTCTCTCTCTCATCTCCTCCTCTCTCATCTCCTCTCCCCTAACTGCGTGGCGTGGGTCGCGGTCTCTCTCTCTCTCTCTCTCTCTCTCTCTCTTCTCTCCTCTCTCCCTTCCTCCCTCGGGGGTCCTCCGGGGCGCGTGCGCTCGTCGTTCTTGGCGTGCCTCTCCTCTCCTTCTCTCCTCTCTCCCCTCTCCCTCTCTCTCCTCTCTCTCTCCCTCTCCTCTCCCCTCTCCTCTCCTCTCCTCTCATCAATACTATATTCCTCTCCTCTCTCTCTCCTCTCTCTCTTCTCTAATCTCCATCTCCCATCCCCCTCTCCTTCGCTCCTCTCGGGTGGAGTGGGGCGGGGTGGCGGGGGGGATAATACGGTTTGTCACTCTCGACCTCTCCTCCTCCTCTCCTCTCCTCTTCTCTTCCCTCTCTCTCTCTCTCTCATCTCTCCTCTCTCTCCTTCTCTCTCTCTCTCCTGCTCTCCTTCCTCCCGCCGTCGGGCTCTATCTATTCACTAGGCTACCTACTATCCTATCTTTGTGACGTTCGTAGACGGAGTCGCCGTACTCTACGTGAGGCCGCCATTGCAAAGGGCTGAACAAAACCCATTTTTCCACAGCGGCTTATGCATAATTAAAATAGTTATTTGAACATTACAAACTCATGAAAGAGGAACAAATAATTATCTAGTGAACGTTTGTCTTTTATTTAGTAGTGAGTGAAAAGTGATAATATCAAACTTCCATTACTTCTATATAAAGTTTGAATTAACAATAATGTTCACACTTCGAGATTACATACATTATTCATATTGCACGCACTATTATTTACACAGGCAACACACACGTATACACACACGCACAGGCACAAGCACCAACAGCGGGGTGCCACAGGCAACGCAGGGATAAAAATCTCCATAATATCTCTTTGTGACTCTGTCTGTAATACATATCTATCAATCTTTATAATATATCTAAACATCCTTCACAGCACAGGCATCACCCACGCACACTCAGGCACAACAAACACAACACAAAACTCACACACCACATAACAATTACGCACTCACACACCTGTACTCAACAGGTACATTCTGCTTCTTCTTCTGTCTTATATATAATCATCACTATGCTGTCACACTATCACCGCTACTATCACAGGTTTCAGTCATATCATCAATACTACACACAACACAGCACACACACACGTGTACACACAGGCTTATACTCACAACTACTACAATTAGCAGCTCTCCCTCTCCACATGTTCTTTTCTTCAAACACTAATATTTTTTTTTATATATCCACATATATAATATATACATCTCCCCAACACACATTATACAACACCCTTCCCCATCACACACACATAAAGCCTAACCTCGTTTCCTCCACACACAAACAAACACTTCCCTCCCGTCACACACATCCATTATAGCAACTCCCCCACACATCCAATACTACACTCCCTCCTCCCCCATACACACACACAGCAAACCCCACACTACAAATAACAAACACCCCTCATCACACACCACATAGGCACTCCTCTCACACCAAACAAACAAACCCCCTCCCCCACACTCACCACACACACAACACTCGGGTGCCGCGGGTGTTCATTCTCCCCTCCAGACAGCATGACAAGCAAGAGCGAGATTTCCACAATCATCCTTGGGGGGCTGTTTACACGTGTGCAGGTAGCAGCAGTCACGAGGCCGACAGTTCTTCCTTTTTTCTGCTTTTATAAAATTTTCCAGACCACACCACCCAAGGCAGGAGAGCTTGTCTCGGTTAGCCCGTCCCGCGAGAGCACAGTCAACGCTCCGTTATTTTGAGCGTTGGTTGCGGATCAGCTGGAGCGTGTACACGTGAAGAAGACCTCGTGATATGTCCTTGTTGCTGACGCCGGGAATCTGATTCGTTTGCAGGAAGTCTCGTCTGTCTCTATTAAGGTATTGTGGTGATGATCCGTTCTCCTTTGTTGGTTTGGTTTTGTTTGTTGTTTTTGTTTTCGTTTTTCGTTCTCTGTGTATATATATTTTCTTCTTTTCTTCTTCTTCTTCTGTCTCTCTCTCTCTCTGTTTGTCTTTCTTCTGTCTCTCTCTCTACCTTTCTCTCTCTCTCTCTCTCTTCTGTCTCCTTCTCTCCTCTCTCTCTCTCTCTCTCATCTCTTCTCTTCTCTCTCTCTCTTCTCTCTCTCGCTCTCTCTCTCTCTCTCTCTCTCTCTCTCTCTCTCTCTCTCTCTCTCTCTCTCTCTTCTCTCTCTCTCTCTCTCTCTCTCTCTCTCTCTCTCTCTCTCTCTCTCTCTCTCTCTCTCTCTCTCTCTCTCTCTCCTCTCTCTCTCTCTCTCTCTCTCTCTCTCTCCTCTCTCTCTCCCTTCTATCTCTCTATGCGTGTAATCGTAACGTTTATATGCATTCAGAGGCCTCTTCTGCAGATGGAGAGAAAGCCCTTATCTATAATACGGTTCATTCTCCCCGACCCTGAAAAGGAGGGGCATTCCCTCCGTCTCACAAAGGCCTCGCGCGGAACAGCTGACGTCCGTACAGTGCGCGCGGATTCATAGGAGTCATGTGAGCTAGTATTTACTGGTCGTATTTGTCTCATATTTGTCTGGGCGCCTTGTGTTGCCCCCATCACGGAGCGCTCCTTGGGACCTGCACACAATAACACAACTGGCGATAAATAGGATTGCTGACATTGCTTCCGCCGGGGCGTTCCTCTCCTGCCAGGTGTTATTGGAGGGCCGCCCACGCCTCCAGGCAATCACAGGCCGACCCTCGTTCCCTCGGCTACTTGATCACAACGCCCACCGGCCCGCGCCTCTGCCACCCAACCCTGCGCCTTCACCCTCCACCCCTCACGCCCACGCCTCGCTATCATGTGACCTTTCGCGCCTCCTCGTCTGCCTTCCGCTTCACGCCCGTTATCACGTGACACGCTCATGGCCTCTTTCCCCTCTGCCCTTTTGCGCCAGTCTACCCTTTATTCCTTTTTTTCTCTTTTTTGGTCATCATAAAGTACCAAATGAAATTCCTATTCCCAAAGCCGGTTTTTCTTTTGTGCGATTGAATACCGCTTTAAAAAGTCTTAAAACTCGTGGCTATGAGCTTGAACACACGCAGGGAAAAAAAAGAGCATCACGGATGGCATTGAAAAGAACATTCGAACCGACAAAAAGGGTTTCCGTTACCAATGCGATCATATTTCTGTTGACGTCGATTCCCTCATTTGAAAGTCATGGAATTTATTATATCCCAAGTGAGTTCCCTCTTAATCATAGGCGCACCTATCGGCTTTGGCAATGCAGATGCTAAAGTGGTTCTCTGACTGTGTTGGAAAAGCAATTTTGAATAATGACAATGATCATAATAATAACAATAAAAAGATAATGATAATAATAATGATAATAATTAATGATAATAGTAATACTAATAATAATGGTGATGATAGTAATGATAACAATGATAATGATAATGATAACAGTGACAATAATAACAATAATGATAAAAATAACAACAACAACAATGAAAAGGATAATATTGATAATAATAGTAATGATAATAACAACAATAATAATGATGATGATAATTGTAATAATGGTAATAACAACAACAACAATAATAATGATAATAAGAATAAGAATGATAGTAATAATAATGATAATAGTAATAATTGTAACAGAAACAATAATGATGACAATGACTATGTTATTACAACTACTACTATTTATGATAATATTAAAAAATAAAATACCAACGATGGTGATAATAATGATTATGAGAGATGATGATAATAACGATAATAATAATTATAATATTAACGATAATGACAATGATAATAATGATACTAGTAATGTTGATAATAATAATGATAGCTATAATGGTGGTGATAATACAAATAGTGATTATAATAATAATGATAACAATAACAATATCAGTAATAATAATAATAATAATGATAATAGTAATAATGATAATAATAATGATGGTTATATGATAGTAATGAAATAATAATGATGGTTATATGATAGTAATGAAATGATAATGATAACAATGATACTGATAGTAATAATAATGTTGATGATAATAATAATGACTAATGAAAGAATAATGATAGCAATTATGATATCAATAATATCAAAATTGATAATTATACACAATGATAGCAATAATAACGGCAACGATAAAATTGATAATAGTATTAACAACATCAATTACAAAAACAACAACAACAATAATAATGAAGATAATAATGATGGTAATGGTAACGATGATATTGATTATGAGGATATTAACAATAATAATAATGATAATAATAATAATAAGAAGAATAAGAATAAGAATAAGAATAATGATAATAATAATAACAATAATGAAAATAATAATAATAACAATAATAAAAATAATAATGATAGTAATAACTATAATGATCATAATAATGGTAATAGTAATAATAAGGATAATAATAATCATCATCATCATAATAATAATGATGATAATGATAAGATAAAAATAATAATTATAATAATAACAATAACAACAATAATGATAATAATAATAATAATAATGATGATAATAATAATAACGATAATAATAAGAATAGTGATGATAATAGTAACACCAATAATAACAATAAAGAAAATAATATAAACGATAATAATAATAATAGTAATAATGATGATAATAAAAATAATAATGATGATAATGATAATAAAAAATCTAGAAAATCCAGGAAACAAAATGAATATCTTTACAATACAATGTATTTGATCGGTTGCGCATATCTTCATCAGAAATGATAACAAAATAATGATAAGAATAGTGATAATCATGATTGCATAATCATAACATTATAACATAATGAACGGAAGGACAACAACAATAACAATAATGATAATAACACAAAAAAAATAGTGATTATGATAATCATTATATTGACAATAAGAGTGTGAATCACCAGGGAAGGCTAGAACAGTAGCAACTCGAGGTGGTGTCATGGCGCACCACAGGGCTGTTTTGATGACTGTTCAATGAAAATATAACCATCAAAATAATCATTTTTCATCCTTTCTGAAAACTGCAAAGACCAAAATGATCGACCACATTCATAAAGCATCCGTAACTTTTGTGACGTCATCAAAATGTGTTTTTTTTTTCCAAAAATAGAATCAGACGTCATGACACCTCGAGTTGCTACTGATCTAGCCCTCCCCGTGAACACCACGATTGGGTCTGTTGGTTCCAGCTCAGAAAATCGCTGGATTCCAGTGAAATTTATGGATAGTTTGACCCAACCTTTAGAGAGTGCATACCTCCTCTAAGGCAATATGGTCACTAATGCAATAAAAATATACACACTTGAAGAATTACATTAAAATCACCTCTTCCTCAAGTTCTCTGGTGATGTCCGTGTTTCCATATCTCGCAAAGCTAAT